CTGACACTGCGGATTTTATAGATTTTATGGACAAATTGTTTGACTGCTTAAATAGTAGAAATTTATTTTCCAAAAATCCATACAATTGCGCTTTAACGGATTTTGGAGTAGTCAAATCATTTCTATTGGACGCAGTGAATTATTTTAATGATATTGTTAAGGTTAACTATAAAGGCAAAGAGACTCGTCCTCCATGTTTTAATGGATTTACTCAAACAATTAACGGTGTATTAAGTTTTTTTGATGACGAAATAAAAAATAATGGTATAACGTTCTTAATAACAAATAGGCTAAATCAAGACGTTCTGGAAAATCTTTTTTCAATATTTCGCCAAAAAGGAGGATATAACAGAAACCCTACGGTAAGAATAATTCGAACCTCGTTTAGAAGTACGTGTGTATTTTCTTTAATAGCCTCAAAAAGCAGTAACTGTGAGATCAGCCAAGAAGTAGATGATTCTATTATCGTACAAGATGTTATATCCGGTGATAGAGCATTAAACGAAGTCGTGTCAGATACATTTTCAGACACGTCTTCTAATTGTTCATATTCATCGTCATCAACAAAATCAGTGCCTAACCTAGATATAATAATACCAAATGATATTACACTTGAAGATTGCTCTGTTACATATTTTTCTGGGTACTTGGCTCACAAATGTATTAAGAAATTTAACTGCAATGATTGCATTGAACATTTAACAATAAAAAGAGATTTAAATGATAAAAATCAATTACTTTTAGTACATAAAAATTATTCTGATATTGATAGAGATACAGGACTTCAGGCGCCATCAGATGAATTAAAAAATATTATAAATCGCGCTTTAGAAATATTTGAAAAAAAATTTGAAAAAATTCAACATACAAAAAAATTAAAATACAAATTTTTAGCTATTTATAAAACAGACGAATTGATATCTAGGTGGATAAATGAAGAACATATATGTGCAGAACATCATATTTTTATACTAGAAAAATTCTTGCTTTGTAAAATTTTTAAAAAATCAAAATTATTTTCAACTACAACTCACCAATCTAAAATAGCAAAGTTAAAAATTTTAAATTACATTTAAAACACTTCCTTACTAACATAATATTTAATGCATTTTGCTAACGTGTTATAATTTGTTTTAATAATATGTTGATGTTTACGTTAATTTATAAATTATTAAAAAATTGATATGCGTGTATTTAAAATGTTTTGAATTTAATTTATTAAAATGTATATAAACATAATAAAATATTTTAGTTTTTGTAAGATTTCCTGAAATAATGTAACATCCTGTGTCCTTTTTTACCAGTCCGTGCATGAACAGATTTCAATTAGCGGCGAAAACTATTCGCCGCGGAACTACGACAGTTGGACAGTATTGCAATAATATAATAAATAATGACTATAGACACTATACTACTAGATTATGTACGTTGTCAATAAACGAATTTCCCCACTACCGACGCCTAACCACTCATCCCGCTACCACCTATGATTGGGGACCGTCCTAGACGTCTGGTCGCCTGCAGCGCTCCATAGCGGCTGACGTCTTATAACTGGTTACCATATTTTTGTACAGCGCCGCTTATCTGTGTATTATAAAATCAATGATAATACAATATTACATTGATATGTTATACAATTATTGTATTGTCTTCTCTGTCGAGTTTAAATTATTAAATTATTTATAAATACCTAGTTGATAAACATTAACATTCACATAACTGTATTTCTGTAAAACAGTTTTATGAATAATTGCTTAAAAACTACCTCACTTCGCCAATTGTGTTGAAATGTATAGATGGTATTTTATACTATTCACAAACATTTTTAATGCTTGTACCACCTAAATAGCATAACATTTTTAACCATGCGGTACTTGAATAGGTACACCGACAGTGAACGGAATTTCGATTTCCGTTCCATTTCACTTGCGAGTAAAACACTTGTTTAGAGTACTGTGTCAAGATAGCGCCGACTTATAATATCAATATGTAACCTGACTGCATATATGGTATGGCCAAACAATGTAATCATACTATATGTATATTATAGTTCTATATTAGTAGGTATAGTTGTACCATATAAAAATCGTAGAGTCTAATTATTGATGAACCAAAATAGAAGAATTTTCAGAAAAAAAAACGAAATTTGTGCGATGGCCAAATGATGAAACAATTTTTTTTTATATAATATTAATCCTTAAATTTTTTATTCATATTAATTATTAAAAGAAGGTATGCTCAACATTTTCAGCGAGAAATTTTTAACGGATAACAAATCAAGTTATATTTGTATCTACATGTAGAAACAAAATCTATACAATTACCTAATGATAATGGTTTTTTTATTATACTCTTAGAAACAGTTGTATTGAACAACATTATTTATCGTAAAAGTAAAATAAACTTATACTTATACTGATCTAAAATACATTTATTGTAAACTCTGCTTCACTTTACTTATCAATGTCAACAGAGTCCATTAGTTCGTAAAAGCAAAGTAAAATTTGGATGAGATTCAACTTTGAACCAAGTATCACATATTAAAAGATGCATCATGAACTTTTTGTATTTCAAATCACAACTTATTATTTAGGCATCTATTTTTGTTCCCAAAAAAGTTAAATTTACAAATCTGGGATACAGCTAATACTAAATTGTATATTTTTAGTTTTTAATTTTGATCTACTTAATTTTGTTTAGTTATTAACTACTTACTAAATAAGTATACTTAATTTAATGATGTTTTTTTTTAACTTAAATAAATCTCAAATAATTCGATTATGATGTAATTTTATCATAAATTTGTGTCGCAGCATATTATAATAACAATTATTATCCAGTGATTAAAATTCGACCAGTAAAACAACATTATTTAATTCTTTAATAAATTTAAATTACAAATATACATAATTCAATCGAGTATAACCATCGATAATAATGTAATATTGATAATGAGTGCCGACGTCAATAATGATACTACTGGCCATAAATAACATTATGAGGGATTCGAAATCAGGCTTAAGATCAGCGTCGAAAACGTATGGCAAGTGGAGTAAATACCTCAGAACTTTTTTAGGTGATTGGTGAGTGGGTAGCTTAATGAGTGCTAGATATATTAATTTTATTATTGTATGATAAAATATTCTATTATATTATGTAAATACTAATTAGTAAATACTCATAGTTCACAGGTATGAAATAGGTATCTGCTGTTTGATTATGAATTTTTGGCGATTGGGAGGGTACCCATTAGTAGGGTTACTCAAGTGATATAGAAAAGGTTCGACGCCATTACGTAAGATCATAATAGGTACGCCGAAAATGTACAAAATTCAAAAAATTATTAAAACTATTAATCCACATTCTTAATTCATTACTATTAAAATATCTTAGTGTCACATTTAATGCACATTTTAATGAAACCATGAAAATTAATATATATGTATAATATTCTACAGTAAATGTAGGTAAATAAGTATAGTAAATACATAGTTATTAATTTAAAGCAATACCCATAAGCACAAAAACTTCAGTGTCCTAACATAGGCGTAAACTGGCAATTGCCTCCCTAGAATAAATTAGGTGGGGAAATGCCCACTCCGATATTTAACATAATTTGTTTTAAAATAAGTACAAAACAGCTCGTTATAACTATTACAATTTTTTTTTTAAATCTTAATTTTAAATTTTCGTTTATCTAACATTATGTTAGAAAATGAATAATTTTATATAATAATATGTAGTTAGTAAAGCGACGTTTAGCCTCGGACACACTTTTCGTTAAATATGTTATTATATTTTTGCCCCTCCCCCCAATAAATTTCCAAGTTACGCCAATGTATTCTAATCTGCCCCGAAAGCAATATGCGTGTCCAATTTTTTTTTCTGCAAATCTACTCAAAAATGTATTATATGAATATTTATTTTTCTCTTGTTATACAATATGTAATATACGTAGTGATCAGTACCGAGAAAAAAGTGTTCGCGTTTTAATATAATACAGATAGATAATAATAATACATTTTAATCGAGTTTCCCGTGGTGAGATCGCCTGCCTCCGCGACAACCTTGATCAGTCGTCTATGATGGACCGGCAATCGTCGTTACTTGTTATCGATTTTTTATTTTTTTCGTTGTGAAAATACCTCACGGTAACCCTTATGTCTATTTATAGTTTATACCAATTGACAATTACCAAATATTGTGGCAATAAATAATTATCTAGTACGCAGTATTTTAAAAATAATAAAAATACGCTTGATTTTTCACAAATAACGGCTTATGGCTAAACGACAACGATCGGCCCTTTAGGATATTTTTTAATCAGAGAGGAGAAAATGCCTACCTTGCCACTCTCCCCAAATGACACCACTGGTCTGAATATATATGGATACACCTTACCCGATTTCGGACAAAGGTTTAAAATTTGATTCAAATGAATAGGCATAAATAACAACGAAAACGAAAAAGTTATTGATTATTATAAAGTTGTTATAAAAAAAAGAGAGTCTTAAAGTTCCTTCATTCTTCTGTAGATAGCACAAAAAGTTGACTCATTCATAATGAGGTAAATAATAATATAAAATATTGTTCAAATGTGACTTCTACATATCTTTAGTAACAGTTAACGTTAACTATTTGGTTTCTTGTAATTTTACTAAGTTAATATGTTTAATTCGAATTTTTTTTTTTGACTACCTAAATCTATTTTATTTTCAGTTGAAACATGTTTGGTTACACAGATTTTTTTCACGCGCAATCATAGCCTTATAGGTTATATTTTTTCGTTTGACTCATACGTTCAGTTCGACAAAATTAAAATCAGATAGCCATAAAGGAACGCATCTATAGTAACAACAGTTGAATACATAAAGCAGAAATATTAAAAACCATTTAATCGTTACCTACTTAGTTGACTAATACATCTCAAAGAAAATCATATATTATCACTGTTATCGGCCTTGTCTACTGTTGATAAGTGCTAAGCACGTTAAACGTTATCGTATGTGAAGTCTGATAACACTGGACAAATTTTCCAGTCCTTCACCGAGAAACGATGTTGAACTGAAAATTGACTGATTTTTACCATTTTGGGGTCTTGTTTAATTTTAATTTTCTAAATGTCTTGTGGCAAAGTGTCGCCCACTATGCTCATCTCGGAGATTGATCAAATTATGATCATGTTAGAACGGGGCACAATTGTTACTCGGTTTTATTTGAAGAAGAAACCAGAGAAACGAACATTAAGATTACGCAAGGAAACAAGACAAATTCTTTGGTCTAGAGTTAATAGTACCAATGTCAAGAAATTCGAAGGCTCTTGTAATTATATATTTTACTCTTAATGCATGTTTGTGCAACATTTTTTATATAATAATTAAATTTATTTCAGTGGACCTCAAAGATGTCAAAGAAGTACGCTATGGAAATAATAGTAAAGAATTTGATAGGTATCCCGATGAATTTAAGAAATTTGATGCTTCTAAATGTTTTGTAATTTTTTATGGTAATGATTTCAAACTAAAAACTCTCTCTGTTGTTGGTAAGCAAAGTATATTTATTATTGTTAATATAGCATATTGTGAAACAAACTTAGTCTGTATAGTGCATATCATTATTTTTTACAAAGCAATTTATGATTATGAAGGTTTTCTAAATGTATTTTGAATTTATAGTTGAAAAAAAACTAAAAAATTATGCCACTATAAGAATTATTTATAAGTATTGCTATAGGTAACTGAGATGTGCTTCAAGTCTACTATTTATTTTGATAATTAAGTGCTGTACAAATAAATTACATAGTTAAATATTATTTTTTAATATATAATTAATCATAAATATTATAGAACATAAATCAATAAATAACTTACCTAATGAGGTGGGAATTTTATTAAAATTTATTCAAAACAAAAATTCTATAAAAATGTAATGCATTTTACCATTGAGTTATTTAGTAATTTCATATTTTGATTTGTGATTTATTTATATTAATAATCAATACACATTAATAAGTTTTTTTTTCATAACTAAATATAAAAGTATTATATGTACAAAAAAAAAAAAAAAAAACATAATAAGCTACCAAACTATAAAACATAACTAACAAATATAATTAAAATAATATTTTTTAGATGCAAATTTAAGAATTAATTTCAGTATAAATATAAATAGGTATATACATATATTAATCTTCATTTTTTCGTTCAATATTCAATATCTCATCTCCATTCTGATCAAAAAAATGTATATATATATACATATATATATATATATATAATTTCTGGCTAATATACTTAAAACTAAAATGTAGTGTTATCACATAAAATACATATTTACTATTCAAAAACTGAAATTTATAAAATATTTTTAATGTTGTAACTTAAATATTAGTAATTTTTATAATCATACTAATACAACAGTATTTTTTGAAAACAAAATATTTTGGAAACATCAGTTTTTAATTTTCATTATTATACATGTAATCTATTAAAAAATTAATCTATAATTTAATGCAACATATAGCATAGTATAATAAATGTTTTTAATGTATAAGTTCACTCTATTGAGAATTCAATTTAAATTTTTTTATGAATAAACAATATTCCATAGTTAATATATAACCTTATATTTTTACTTAAAAAGATAATCTTCATTCTTCATTCAGTATAACGCGATTATTATTGATTTTAAAGCATTATCTGAACAAGAATGTGAATTATGGCTTAGAGGTTTATATCATCTTGTAAATGATACTGTATGTGCTCCATATCCATTACAAGTTGAACGATGGCTGCGCAAAGAATTTTATAGTATGGAGAATTCAAGGGAGACGTTAGTAAACAATTTAATCATTTTTTAAAATTGTATTTTATTTAAAAAATGCAATTAAGTACAGTATGTTAATTATATTTTGTAGAGTAACATTGAAAGATATTAAAATATTTTTGTCTCGTGTTCATTGCAAAATTTCAACCAATAAATTACGAGAGTTGTTTCAAGAAGTTGATACCAGGAAACGCAACGAGCTTAATTTTGATGAGTTTGTCACACTTTATGACAAACTTATCTACAATCCAGGGGTAAAAAACATTTTCTGTTATTATATATTTTTTGTTATCATATAATACCTGTCTGCATTTTATTAGCTTTTTAATAGATGCTTTTCAATGTATTGTTCGGATGATAATGACACATTTAGTGTTCAAGATCTTACAAGATTTTTAAATGTTGAACAAGAAAGTTTTTGTCTTGAAGAAGAACTTGTTGCTAAACACATGAAAGAATATTTTAAGTATTGTGAAAAAGATTTGAGTGATCCACTACAGTTTACTGCAACCGAAGTAAGTATTAGTTATTTTATGTAAATCATCCAAACACTTAATTTGATAATACCAACAATACAAATTACACCAAACTTTAACAATTTATAACTGTCCATTTTATTGTATAATGAAATGCAGTCAATACTTAAAAACAAATTGTAATATTGGCTATAAAATAATTGCTATCTTAGGGGGCGGCTACAATTAAGGATATCATATCATCTCTTATCACAAAAAAAATCTATAATAAAAATATTGGAGATGTATTTATTATTCATTTATAATTACATACAAGGCAAAAAGTAACTATAAAGTAAAATAATATATATTGATATAAAAAGAATACATTAGGGTATAAATTAATAAATAAATAAATTATAAAATATTGTATATTGGTAAGGCAAAATATTTGCACATCCGTATATAATAACTTATTCTAATGAACTCAACATAAGTAGTTGTTTTAAAACTTTTGTTTGACTTGTTTCTCGAATTTCGCCTGCTAAAAACATTTCATCAACTACAGTGTATACTTTGTAGAAGTTGAACACCAGATCAAGTTCACATACGTTGTGGAAATATTCGTTGAGGACTTCAACAAAATTATGTATGGCCTCCAGATAACAGAGATTGTTATCGCCCACGTCCACACAAATGCAAAAATATAAACCAGCGTACCTCCGATAAATTATTTTGAAGTTTCGAAATTCTACAAAATTTGTATGTTTAGCATCTCTGACTGTTACAACTGCATGTACTTCTTCAATGAGCTTTTGTTTTTCATCATCATCAAAGTTCATATACCATTTTGCTAGCCTCGTTTTACCTGCTCTGTTTTGTATAAGAATAAAACGAATCATAATGGAGTATTTAGAACGTTTCAAGAAATTAAATTAGTGAAAAATAAGATATTAAAAGATAAAACGACCAAGACCGCGTCAACAAAAAATCAATACTAAATTACACAGCTGCAGGTAGGCGGTGTTGAGTGTTATCATTTGCCAAATGGCGAGTGGTAACAACTTACTGATAACAGTTTTTGATATTCGTTATCATTATTTCCATTCTTAATTTCACGTTAAATTTAACAATTTAACGTTTTTTATATACCTACTTTTGTTATTTTTTGTTTTATATTTTAAATTATTTAAATCATAAATATATGATTATAAATTATTGAAGCCTAATGTTTAGCTTTAATTCCACTTAAATATTTATTCTAATTTTGCATTTAGTCTGTTTGACAAAATGTTATTCAGTTATTTTAGGCATAAATCTAGTTTAGAGATCTTTTAAATTTTTTATTATTTTTTTTTTTTTCGAACAGAAGCGTTTTTTTACAATAGTATCTTAATATTGAGCGGACGACTTAACTTTTTCTTAGTTATGGCTCATTTAAATTGTAAATATTTAAAGGGTTATATTAAATAATTTATTATAGGTTTAAAAGAGATATGGTATCATAGTTTTGTGGAATAATTCCTTAATTATTGTGAGTCTGTGTTACGGACATATATAGATACTAATGACACACAGCATCTGATTAAACCATTCATTTTCGAGTTCGAATTTAATGAACTCAGTGTGATACTTCTTTGCATTTTTTTTTTCTAATGTTTTAAATAAATTGATAATTATTGTATTATTTATTCGCGAAGCGAGGTTTTAGGATCAAATACAAAGCATAATCCCATCCGTAACAGTATCAAGGTTTGTACAAAAACTATGTTAGTCTTAGACTATAATTCCCTTTGGGGCAAAGCCCCATCTGCACTAAAAGTGCCATGTGGCACTTGAGATTGTAAGTGGAGCCGACAGGCGTAGCAAGCGAAGTTTTAAAATTTTAAAAATTTAAGTTTTGTTTTTCCGAAAAAAAAATGCAAAAACTTTCAAGTACGATTAAAGATTTTTAAACTAAGTACCTTTTCTGTATTAAGCTATTAGTTATTAACCATTGGACTACGAGATGACCTGTATTATGATGGAATATTATTTATTTAAGGATATCTACATGATATAATTGAAAATTCATAAATTTCAAAATTGTATAACTCAAAAACTAATAATTTCCGTCAATTTATTTTTACACGATAATTTTTAAAACATTGATTTACCTAGTATTTACTATAATTTAAAAGATTATTTTATTTTAATAAATTTTAATTTTTATGTTATTATAATTTTAAAATACTTTATCAAGAGTTAAAAACTTAAAGTATTATTTAAGAATATAAAATATACTATGATCTTAAGTATTACATTTTAATTGTTTAAAGTTAAAATAAATATTTATTTTTTCTTATATTAAATACGTAATAATAATACCAACAGGTAATAAATATTTATTGATGTAATATGTTTATAAACTCTGTATGTAAAATTAATCAGTATAGTGTGCAGTATTAAATGTTTTAAAATTTGAAAATAATTAATACATAATAATAAATAATTATACATTTTTCATTGTTTATCCTTATGAGTAATAGCTACCATGCAAGTACTTTTAAATAATAATTTCATGTTGTAATTTTTTAATCTTCTGTTTGAAAAATAATTATTTCATACAAAAAATATTAAAAGAAAATACTTTAAGGACATTCAATAAGAATAAGTAATAATAAATAATAAGCATCTTTGGATTATTTGGACCTAACCTAACTCTATATTAAAATAATATGATATGGCACCTACATTATAAATAAATTTGCCTTTTTATTACCTTTTTTTATATTTACTCTACTACATAAATTGTTTGTTTAACAAAAAAATATGGAACTTCTTCTTATCATAAATTTTATACTAATTTTATAATAAACCTTTGCTCATGATTCACTGTATTATTTTTTGTAAATTTATATTTTTTCTTTTAATATTATTTTATTTTTCATCTTTTAGTTTATGGATTACTTGTTTTCAAAACAAAATGAAGTGTGGGATCAGTATTATGATAATGTATTTCAAGATATGACATTACCGCTTTCACATTATTGGATAGCATCTTCTCATAATACGTAAGAATAATTTTAAAAATTCAATAAAATAACAGAAAACTTTTGCTTGTCTGAAAAAGTTCTTCTAAATTATAAATTTAGTTATACTATTTATTAATTTGGTGTAACAATCTTTCTTAGATATTTAACGGGTGATCAAGTGTCTAGTGAAAGTTCAGTGGAAGCATATGCAAGATGTTTACGTTGGGGTTGTCGCTGTATAGAATTAGATTGTTGGGATGGACCTGATGGATTACCAATAATATACCATGGACATACTTTAACAAGTCGTATCAAATTTTTAGATGTCTTAAAAACAATTAAAGAACATGCTTTTGTCACTTCTCCGTAAGTACAAAAAACAATGTTATGAGATTTTATTATAATAATGTATTATTATAATTTTAGATATCCAGTTATTTTATCAATTGAAGACAATTGTTCAGTACCACAACAACGAAATATGGCATCAACTATGATTGAAGTATTTGGTGAAATGTTACTTACACAGCCAATTGACCTTAATGAAATTAAAATGCCTTCACCTGAACAACTTATGAATAAGTTCATTATAAAACACAGGCGACTCCCAGAAAATGTTATTGGTGATCAAGCAGTAAAAATTAGACATCGCGATGACAGTAAAAGTTATATATGTTTAATAATTTTTGTTTATTTCTACATAGTTTTTCTTTATAGGTAAAGAACCAAATTTGAGAAATGCCAAAAAAAATGGAGTACTGTATTTAGAAGATTCTATAGAGAAAAAATGGAGACCCCATTTTTTTTCACTGTTTGGTACCAAACTGTATTATACAGACCGTTGGAAAATGCATGTTGAGAATGAAGATGAAGGAGATGGTGGAGAGTTGGAACCAAACGATTTATCTAGTATAAATCGGTTGAGAGAAGTTAGTTTTATTGACAATATAAAATTTGAATGTTATAGAATAGTGGTTTCCGAACTCTGCTCCATGGAGCCCATAGAATTCCCCAATTGTTTCTCTAAGATTCCATTTGTTTTACCATAAAACATTTAATAACATAACAATTATTAACCATTATTTAAAACAACGAGCATATATATTTTAAAAAGATTCCGTCAAATCATATATAATTCACCGATACATGTACAAATAATATTAAAATCCCGATAAAAAATATAATTGATTAATTTGAGAAAATATACATTCCCATTTTAGGTATTACTTGGCCAGGTATATTGTATATAAATATAATATTAAGTATACATTACCTTGTTTTGAGTTTTTTCCCATTCACATATCATGTGTAATATGCTACACAGGCATAAAATTTTAATATTAAATATTTCTTGGAATTCCACTAGAATATAATGCTTAAAAAAAGGTTCCATGGCTGAAAAAGTTTGGGAATCGTTGTTATAGAATATGAATAATGAGCTGATTAAGAGCTTATTTAATTTAAGTAATACTTCAAGAAAAGAAAAAGTTTAATTTTTTTATCAATTTTTATTATTTTGGATTCATAATTTGTTTGTATAAAATTTACCTTATTTTCCATATTTATGAATAATGAATATCATACTTATAAAATTTTTAATAATACTCATATATAGTTTTTAATTTAATTTTTTCATTAATATAAACAAACAAATCAAGTTTCAGTACATAATAAATACATATAAAATAATGAACATTGAATTAGATAAATAGTAATTCTTAGCATTGACTGATTTTTAAGTATAATTATATCTAGACCTCTTATTATATGTATTACGAAATTCACGTTTCCCATGAAATAAAAATGTTTAAGTACTTAAAGTTTAAAATATATTATTTGTACATTATTAATATAGGGTAATACGTTTTTATTTTAAATAAACATCTATTTCATATGATATGTGAATTTTGTGACACATGTTTTAAAAGATCTAGTTATAACTTTTATCCTTACTTAACACAAATAGTAATTATGTTATTGGATTATTCATTTAATTCTAAGAATATGACTGTAGAGAAAATATTTGTAATTTATTTTTGTTAAATAATAATTTATTGATAGTTTTTATCGCATTATGTCTAAAGCCGGTTTCAGACAAAATGGGGCTCGGTTTGTGTATACTTAGTATGATACAAGCGTAGTGTAAGACTTTTGACTCACCTAGACATGGTACAGCATGACGTAGCTCATGTTTATTAAAAAAAGTCTGTCTGTTAAAAGGATCGTACTGTGAGAATAACAGATGCTCTTATTAGGCTGAGTATGATAGCTTGACTTGATATACAAATTCACTGAGCTCCATGTAATGTGAACCTAGTTTAATAATTATTGTTCATCACTTAAAAGTTAAAATTTAATACTACTCAAATTATTTAGAGTGAATATAAACCCTTTACTAAAGAATCTTCTAAATTATTATTAATGATCTACTATTTGATAACTTAAAATATTTATATTTTCAATAACTTATTTCCCTATTCAGGTTGTGTGCAAAAGATTTATTGATACATTATTATTTGCCAGTAGACTTGTGATTATTTATATAACTATAAGTTATCAACCATTTGATCATGGGTTTAATATCAGTATAAGAGTATTCGAATAATTGTTGTCCTAATTAAATTAAATATTTATATATGTATTTGCACTAGTCAGTTTAGATTAGGTTATTTATAATTAATTGTAAGAAGTAAATATTATTATAACATTATTAATGTTTTGAATTTTATTGCAATAAATTATGCTGAGCGGCAACCTTTTTGGATGTTGCTGTCAGGTAATGAGAAAAATATATAAGGATTATGTGTGCTTAAATTATTTTTTATTCCAAAAAACTTATATTAATTTATGTATTTTAGGGTATACCTAATGATGAATTACATTTTGGAGAATATTGGTTTCATGGAAAATTAGCTCGAGGTAGAACTGAAGCGGAAGAATTGTTGAAACAGTATCAACATTATGGTACTGGTACATTTTTAGTGAGAATGAGTGAAACATACTATGGTGAATATTCACTATCATTCTGGTAAATTAATGGAGCTTATTATTATTGTAATCTATATTAGTTATTGATTTTTGTTCAAATTCACAGGCATCAAGGTAAAGTTAATCATTGTCGAATATTTTCAAATCAAAGAAAATTTCATTTGATTGAGGGGACCAAGTTTGATAGTTTATATAGTCTGATAACATATTATCGAACAAATCCATTACGTTTACAAGTAAATCTATAAATCAAATAAAATTTAAAATGTCATATATTAATAAAATACCCATTAATAATATAAAATCATGATGTTGAACATGAATAATTATTTTAATTTAGGAAAGCCGTGTTGTATTGAAAGAACCTGTCCCTCAACCTTTAAAGCATGAAGGCATGATTTGGTATCTTCCACATGTTGATAGAAGTCGAGCTGAGGCATTACTGAAAAGAGTACCGTACAAAGGTGCATTTTTGGTACGGCCATGTGATAATGATAAACATATTTTTGCAATATCATTTAGGTAAATTAAAATACTTATTAGATTTGTTTTAAATCATTATATTAATTATTGTATATTATTACTTTAGAGCTGAAAAAAACATAAAACATTGTCGTATTAAACTAGAGGGAAGATTATATACTATTGGTTTAAAACAGTTTGAAAGCCTAGTAGAACTTATTAAATATTATGAAAAAAATTATTTATATAATACAATCAAATTATGTTTTCCTGTAAATGAAGATATTGCACAGAGAAATGGAAATGTAAGTACAATGTTTATTATATTTTATATCTATGTGTACATAAGATTTTAAATTATATTAAGTTAAAAAGTATTAATTTTAAAATATAATTTATTTTAAATTGTATAAACTTAAATGTTAATAATCCAGTCATATTTTTAAGTTATTTTTAAGGCAGAAGCCTTATTAGCTTAAATTATTTCTTGGTAATTGGAGTGGGTAAGATTAAGTAATTGTATTTTGAGGCATTTTGTCCATTCCATATTGGCATCACCTGAGGACTAATGACAGATTTCTTTTGTTGAATTTCTGCTGGTTTTGTATTTGATAAACCCATCAATCCCAAAGCAGGTACACAATCTGAACAGAGTGGTATTGGTTGAAGTAGTTTGTCTGATTTAACTGCTGGAGTCTTATGATTTTGTCCATTACAATCATGTGGTGCTTGTTGATTATATGAAAGTTGTAAAGGGCTGGATGTGAATGACTTTAAATCAACTTGTGATTCACCAGGATTCAAATAAAACATCACTGTTTGTGGAGTTTTTGATTTATCATGTGTTTCTGTTGGTTTCAATTTTTCCAATTTATTGGATTCTTGTTTTATTATATCTTTTACTGTCAGTTGTTGAGAACTTTCTGCTTGCTCTGAGCCTTTATAGAAACTGCCACCACTCAAAATGTGCATTAAATTGAAATTATTTTTGCCAGAGTTCGCTTGTGATTGAGATGGTTGTGGCTTATTTTGTACCAATGGATAAGAATTTGGGATCATATTAGTATATATTGGTAACATTACCATTGCATTTGGATCGTAATAATACAGTGGCTGTGGAATTTTTATTGTTGGTGTATTATATTTTTGATTTTCTTTGTAATCTGATTGAAAGATTGAACTTGATTGGGATAAATGTATTCCAGAACTTTCATAAGTCTGTGGTTTAACATCATCTCTATGTGCTTCATACCCTGTGAATTGACCTTGGTTGAGTGAATTTGGCGGCTGCTGGATTTGTGGTGGTCGATTATAATCAACATGCATATCATACAATGATCCGAAAACTGATGGATTATATCCATATAATCTCAATGGCTTATTTGATAATTGTTGACTTTTAAAGTTTGAATGTCCATGGCTTGGTTGATGACTTTGCTGTTGTTCTTTTTCCATGGAATCTGCACCAACTATTTTAAGTGGTTTATCAGATAATGGGCTTTTAAAATTTAAATGAGGATCATATTGTTCCTGATTTACATTAAGATTTTGTATTACTTTAACAATATCTTTTTTCATAGCTTCATTGTCATTATACTTAAAATCAACTGTGTTTACTGGGTGTGGTTTTGTAAATGGAACTGTAAATTCTGTTGGTTTAGTTGTTATTTCTTCTTCTTGAATCAATATTTGATCTGTTGACTGATCATCTCTAATGTCATCTTTACGATCTTCAGTTTGATTTGAACTAATTTCTTCAGTTGATTGAGTAACTTTGTCCGTAGTTTCTGCAAGATGATATTCATCTTTGGAATCCATTTCCATTGATTTAGAAGATTTCTGTTCTTGTATGATCATTGGTTCTACAATAATTGGTGATACTTCTGAAGACCCAATTGGTTCTTTTGAAGCATAGATTTCTGGTTTATATACTTGGTTATTTAGAGATATCTTTAATGGAGAAGCGCCAGCTTCATTATTGACATCAATTGGTAATCCATTTGATTTATTTGCATGATAATTGACAATATGCAAATCACCATTTGAATTAGTTTCAGTGTATGAACTAAGAACTTTTTCTCCATTCTTATAGTTTTCATGTGATTTATTGTCTTCTGTTTTATCATCTTGTAGATAGTAATGAAATCGATAACGTGGTGCCTGTAATTTATATACTTAAGTTAATGTACATTAACTAATAATAAATGTTAAAATAATTACACACCTCCTGTATTTTTGTAATTCCTGTTTTTCCTGGTATTCTTACTGAATCAACTCCATTTAGAACTACAATGAGTAAAAGTATCTGTAAATTATAAAATTAAATTATTGTAAGTATTAATTACTTAATTTAGATTATTTTTTAATATTTTTTTGGAAATACACAGTTTAAGCACATTATTTTAACATACTAAAGATAATTTTATTTCATTCTTAAAATATGTACTTAAATATTTACTTAAATACTTAAAATGTCAAAAATAGTATTAAAAATTTTACTTAGATACATTTTTTTTAATTGTTGAGGAAATTGTCTTAAAATATACCAACATCAATTTTATTTAAAAAATCTTGATAATTTTACATAAATATCCTACATTGGAATGAGTGCAAAAAAAATTATATTATTTTCACTAGGTATGTTATTTTTGATGTCCAATATTTTTTTATTAAATTCTCCAAGAATGAAATATTATAAACAATGTATGTTACTACTTATAGTTACCTACTACATTGTAGTACATTATATTTGATTGAAATTTCAAAATCGTACTTTATTTTTTTTTATTTAAAAAAAAGTTACTATTATTATATTACGAAAAAACGTAAACATTTATTGTGAACGAGTTTATAATTTTTGATAAAATCAATTTTTGTTATATTATTTTTCTTAAACCACAACTTAAAATAATGGTTGCGGCTATGTATTTTAATCATGAACCTCTGACTTGATAATTTAGTACACTTCGTATGGTATGTATTAATTTAATATTATATCTTATTTTTAAGTTTTTTATTTTTATATACATTTCTTTTCAGACTTAAAAATGACAAATAAATAGTATAATTTATTATTAAATAAAATTTCTTAATCGGGAGTGACAATTTGTTTTTATATTCATTTGAGATATAAATTATTTCAATTACATTTTAGGCTTTTTAATTATGTGAATACCCATCATTTTTAAGATTTTAACTTCACAGACAAATCAGTTATTGGAAAAGCGGTAGAACGTATATATAATTAATGGGATAAATTCTAATTTATATTGTAATGGTTAGGTGCACAATAAGCACTGAGCACCCAAGTTCCAAACCACCTGTCGTGTATAAAAAGACAAGAGTTAAATAAAATATATATATGTATACATTGTTACCATCTAACAATACGAATTTAGTTTTTTATATTCGGTATCTATTCAATATTATATTCTGAAGTAGTTTATGATTTTAACTCTTAGGATATTTGTATTCGTTATAGCGTTTTTCTTTTTATCCTCAACTCTCAACTCACTAGTAGTGAGTCACTACTCGTACTTAAATTAAATTGTACCTATTATTTGTTATTCGATTTCTATACTATTCGTTAGTCCTTTAAAAAATTTAATTTGTGTCTACAAATGAGTAATTATAATCTATATGATTTAATTGATTATTACTGTATTGATTTGTTTTTTGTTGATTTAAACTTTTAGAGTTTATTGTTATTTTGTTTTCTGTATTTATACGAATAATAGTATCAATATATTATATTATATTAATATATTAATATATTAATATCAATAATATCAATAATCACTATTTTTTTTTTTTTTTTTAAAGAATTTTTTTCGTTGTATACTTTTGTGAAGTTTTTTAAATAAGTAGTTGTATTTTTGAAGAGTATGAAAAATTACATTTCGATGAGATAAAGTTATAAAGTATAAGAATTTAATGAAATATTTTTTAGTAATATTTTCATAATTCGACTTTTAAATAATATTTGATCTCAATAAAAATTATAATAACACATAATTTGTTTAACATATTGTTATTAGCTATTTTTCTCACTAATTAATATAAAATGTTATCGAAAATAAATATTATAGTTTAATACGTTCATTATACTTTGGAGGGTAAGGTATTTCGAATTCTTATTGTTTATACGTAATAGTTATCCAAAATTCTAGACAAATTTATTTTTCGAATTTATTGAAGTGTCATGCTTTCAATTGGACAATTAATTATTTTTTAAAATTCGATTTACCTAATTATGTAAAAAATATTCTTGCACTCAAGAAAAAAAAGAAATATTTTGACTTTTTTGTAGAAGGTTAATTATACAGTAATTAGAAAAAAAAACATAATTGAAATAAAAGCAAAAAAAATAGTAGATTTATCAAAATATTACAAGTATTTTGTATTTAAGTAAAGATTACGCGATGCAAACAAACTTAAAAAATAAACATCCCCGTATAGATATTACAAAAATAATTTAACGGATCGCGTGTTTCTCACCTGTACGACATTCTTGAACACGAACTTCATCTTTCCCATTGTTGAAACCGCAGACATTGTTGAACCCTGCTGTTTGAATGAAACAATTACACTGATGCGTGTAGCTCGTTACAACCCCCTTTTATAATCTCCAACCTTGACTTCTTTCTCTCACTGCCACCTCCTCCGTGACTAGCTCCAAACAACTACAAATATTCCATTAGGGATTCTCAGGTGATGTAATGTATATTTAAATATTTAGTTTTCTGGTTTGTACGGGAACATGATAATATTCTTGTTCCAAAACCGTTGCCACAATTTATTGGTTTGATATAAAATATGTTAACAACGTATTTATTTGTTTTTGAGTTCGTTTCCGTAAGAACTGCTATTGAAACGGGTTGCCTGAAGACGGCATATGAATGGATGTAATGTTTCGGAGGATAATTTTAGTACACCTTGATAATTTATGTTTGAGCCGCCTATTCGAGTGCCGCGCGCTATGTATCTGTTTCAATACCTTTGTGTAATCTCTGTATACCGGCACATCGAGTTTTCCAGTGGACTGTGTATTACCTTTATATCCAAACGTGACACTCCGGTTTTGTAATAATAATTATTCAGTTACGTATTTTCTAAAAAATGAATAAAGCTTATGAGTATGATAGTTTGGGCTCTAAAATAATTTATTTGAATTTAAAATATGTCAAATCGTAATTATTGTAACGTGCACGAATTATTGAAAACTAAATAAATACTGGATGTTTAATGTTTAACAGTAAATAAATAGTTTCTGTATATCATTAATCAATTATATTATGTAAAATATTTGTGTATTATAACTGATTGGTAATAATTGAAAATTTTTATGACGGCCTTATTATTTTATTTGCAATTTTATTAAGTTCTTCTGAAGTTAAAAGTAATTGAATAATAAATTATTTGATAATAAAAATAGTTACTAAGTTTTTGAAATAAAAATAGTATTCTAAAAGGTAAAGTCCATCAACTAGAACCCTATTTAAATAAAAATTTGTAGGACGTGACAGAAATTCCCATTCAATTATTAAATTAATTACTAATTTTTCATGGCTGAACTACTTATTATAATACCTTCACCAATGAGTATTGTTTTTAATCTCAAGTCAGTTATAAAAATATACAACGAATAATACCGGGAAAAATCTTCAAGAAATAGCTTGATATAGGTATAAACTATAGGTATAGAAATAAAAATATTACAAAACCAAAATTGAGGTACAGTATACATTAAAAAGGGTCATGCGTGAACATATTTCATGTACTGAATTGTTTGTACCTAACAGTGTAATTGGGTTTTATATGAATAAGGACAAAATATAACAAAGGATAGCTAAACAACTGTTATTATTTTAAATTATTTTTGTACTTATTTTATTTTTCAAGTCGATTCACATTATGAGTGATTATCTTTCAAAATGTAATATTTTTAGAAATCAAAAATTAAATATATTTTAATTGATATAGAATTTATGTGGTTGATAATAATGTTTAGATGTATAATATAAAAAGTTAAGTATATCAATTAAAACCATTTTTGAAATAAATGTATCAATAGAAATATAAATTCTATATACAATTTTGTTTAAGTATAATTAGATAAAAAACAAAATTTGATTACAAACATTTTTTACTTGATACTCAAAATTATTTAAACTCTTTCATTGATATTGAGTTGAATTTAAAAATATAAATAATAAAAAATTACCTATGTTAATAATATAGTACCATATAGCAAGTTAATTCGATAAAAATAATAGTTAACATCACTAAAAATTAATCTAATTTTGTAGAGTTTATTTTTGAAAATATGTTAAAAACCGTCATTATTTATAAATGGAATGTACATTTTCTTTAAATAGAATTCACATTTACATAAATATTTTTTTTCTCAGAAATTATTTTTAATGTAGTATTATCCTGTCATCTTCTGGTTTTCAGTAAGTTGTCTTTTGTAGGTTTTATTAGCTACTCTTTTATATTGTATCTGGTTGTAAATAAAATCTCGAAAACACCTAATCGTCTAGTGGTTTCACCCTCAAATATTGTATTATGTTTAGTAAATCAGACAGTATTCAAGAGACATAACCCGTGAGATTGAACCGCAACCATAGGGGGTTACCATACGTTACCATAACCGGTTTAGGCACAAAAACAAAATCTGTACCCCGTCACCTATTGAGGCAGTATAATTTAAAAATTCCAAGATCAGGTTTCTCGGGTACCACTACATACTTAATAATAACGAAAAAGAGTTTTAATGACTTATTGTTACAAAAAGTATTTACGTATAATGTACATGATATACAACGGTGTATCGTTCGACCCTTACTTATTGGAGGTTCATCGAACTTCCAGTAACCTGTCTACACACTAAAGTTTTTTTAATATGTTCACTAGAGTCAAGATTGAGTTAAGTAATAATTATTTCCTTATTATTATTTCGGTATTGGAGCAATCGTATTTTTTATCGGATATTGCCAATCATCAAAATGTTTTGTTTTTATTTTTATAACGTGTTTTCATTTATGAAAATTCGATCAAAAGGGTTTAATTGCTGTTACACTACGAGTATATTTCTTTAATCAGTGGTCTTGTATAAATTATTTTTTCATACTTCGATTAATTTGTATTGATTAAGTTATTTCTAAATTAACCATACTATATTATAATATTATTATAAATGGATTAAAACTGCAAAATATAATTCATAATTCATTACATCATTAAATTCATCTCATTTAATTATATTGAAAATTAAAATAAAAAACAATTATTTTGAAGTTTTGTGTTGATACTTATTAGATTTTATCAAATAGTAATTAATTATTTCTACTATACTAATTAGTATAATTAAAATATTATTCCTTGATTATATTATTATTTTGTTTGCAATTAATCTTTATGTTAATAGGATATTGATGATTCTTCTATTTCTTCTACACCTGGTTATATGGATCCCAGTACCGCATTGACTAAGGTAATTTTTTTATTATATATTCTACAAACTTTCTTATAATATTGTGTTTTAAAGACTTGTTTAAAATCTTGTCAGTTAATGAACATCACTAAAAGATACCTTATGCACTTATTATTTATAAATGTATTATATTAAATAGATTTTATTTTTTCTACTAGCACTATTTTTAGTTAAAAATTTGTTCCAAAAATATTTTGTTTATAACCTGCATTTTTCTGTTTTAAAAATAAAATATTATATATTACGATACCTATACAATTAATTTTTTTTTTAATGCTAATTTGTATAAATATATTATCTGTACTTATAATTTTAAAATAAACTTTTTATACATTTTGTTATGTATATGTAGATTACTGTCAAAGCTATATTTGATTACGAGGGTCGTCGAGATGATGAATTATCATTCTGTAAACATGCGGTAATAACAAATGTAGTAAAACAAGATTGTGGATGGTGGCGTGGTGACTATGGTGGTAAAATGCAGCATTGGTTTCCTTCTAATTATGTTGAAGAAATACAAGAAGCTCACCAAGAAAACTTTGATAGAGGTGTAAGTTTTATAATTTTTTATTTCAAATTAGTAATAAACAAATGAAATAAGTAGTAAATATTTTTATTTTATTATATGTTATAGTCAACTGAATCAATGTTTTTGGGAAGTTCTCAAAAAGGAAGTTTAGACTTAACAGGAGCTTTAGTAGAAATTGGGAAGTTAAATCAACCAAATCTAGAGTGGAAGATCAAAATCCAAACATCTAACGCATGTACACCATTCGTTTTAGGTGCTTTATTGCGAGAAGAAGCAGAAGAATGGAAAAATCTGATTGTTGAAACTGCTCATAATGCTAGTGCAAGAGTAATGTTATTATATAATATTTCTTTTTGGTATAATTTAATAAAATTTGTTTTATAAAGGAAACAGAAAATAAAAAAATGGAGCGAGAATTAAAAATTGCCAAAGAAATATCTGATCTTATTATTTATTGTCGGTCAGTTGATTTTTGTTTTGAAATTGGAGAACGTGGATTTGTACATAATGAAATGTCATCTTTTAATGAAACCAAAGCTGAAAAATTAATGTGCCATCAAGCAGAGAATTTTTTTTTCCGTTATCACCAAGTTCAGTTCAGTAGAGTTTATCCTAAAGGTCAACGTATTGATTCATCTAATTATTTGCCAATACCTTTATGGAATGCAGGATGTCAAATGGCTGCTCTCAATTATCAATCACCAGGTTCTTAGCTGAACTTATTTTAGATGCAATTCTTAATAATAATTTACCTATTTGGTTTTTAGATAAATCAATGCAGTTAAATCAAGCCAAATTTCGTTTAAATGGTGCATGTGGTTACGTTTTAAAACCAGAATATATGACAAATAAAACGGAAATGTCAGATATTAGTAAAGTAGAAGAGAAATTAGTAGTATCAATTTGTGTTATTGCTGGTCGACATGTTGGTAGACCAGGTCGTAATGGAATTTCTAATCCATTTGTTTGTGTTGAGGTGTATGGCACTGCTAATGATATGGGAACTAAATTAAGTACCCGTGCAATACGTATGTTTGATTTTAGTGTATTTATTTAATTTTTTAATTGATCAATGCATGTAATATTGTTTTATTTTGCAGCGGACAATGGATTTAACCCGTTTTGGAATGAAACTACTGATTTTAGAATTCAAAATCCAGCTCTTACATTTATTAGATTTGTTGTTAACGATGAAGATATGTTTGGTGATGCTAATTTTATTGGCCAAAATACGTATCCTGTATGTTATTTTGTTTATTTACTTCTAAAATTGATTTAAAACATATATATTTTTCATATTATTTCAGATAATTTCATTACGTTCTGGTTACAGAAGTATTCCATTAAAAAATGGATATTCTGAAGATATTCCATTAGCATCTATTTTAGTACATATCACTATTAGAAGTGCTGAAGTGAGTATTGATTGTGAAATAATCATTAAAATATTTCATTTAATGTTTTTCAAAATTCTATTATTTTTTTATACATTATAATACAGTAACTAATGTCATACAATATATATATATATATATATATATATATATATATATATATATATATATGTGTATATGTATATATGTATATGTATATATATACAGTAACTAATAATAATTCCAATTATTAATTTTTAAATAATTTTAATTTCAATACAAAATGTATACTTTGCAATATGTAGCGCCTTTAAAATTAGGCAACACATATTACATCATATATTTATGTGTGTATATATATTTTACAGATAGTTTATGATTTATATTTTTTATTTTTTATCATTTCAGTTAATAAGAGTTTAAAAAAGGAAAATTTACAAATTAAAAAAAAAATGTTTAAATTGTCCTGTTACCATTCTTACTACAAAATCATTTGGTGTGAAAAATGTCTTTCAAAGTCTATAACCATTACCTGTTATAAAACTACTTTCCATATAAGATTATTATATAATTCATATAAAAAAAAAGTAAAGTAATACCAATTTTTAAATATTAATACATTTTTAAATTAGAAGATTTTAAACTTGTGATTTAAATTTTGTTCATGTATATTTGTATCCACCTTGAATAACTGTTCGGTTGTGAGTGGTGGTCTCTGTAAATAGTCTTGTTTGAAAATATTCTGATTAAGTATGTCACTTTGATTTTGAAATGCTAATATTGTATGTATAGGTATAATAATTATTCAAATTAAATTATAATGTTATTTTTAGAAAAATTCTATTTAAGTTTTAGTAAAATTTTTATTTATCTGTAGGACTTATCGTCATCCGAAAGTGCTGTTCAATCACCATCTGTTTGAATAAAATAAAATTCCAATTTAAGAAAAGGCTGATATATATGAATTACAAATCAAACAAATTTCTCCTGCATTTATAATTTTTATAGTAGGTTAATATATGTCTGTAGAGTATACTGAACAATTTGTTATTTATATCATCTATGATAATGTTACTTTTGTGAATAGCATTTTATTAGGTGCAATATTAGTTGAATGTATTAAGTAATTATATTTCAAGGACAATTATTAGTAAATTTTCATTCAAAAAGTACAATATTACTGTGAAAAAAATTTACTTAAGTGAATGTTTTTATTTTGTATGTTTATTAATATGTTAATACATTTTATTAACCATTATAAAAAATAAAAAATAATAATGCTGTTGCATCCATCTCAAGACCGCTTATGATGTAATTTATATTACTTTTTTAATTTGTGTACTCATTAGGTTATTACTGTATGTTATATAATATCATTACTGAAAGTTTATCATTATTAGTCATTAATTAATATTTAAAAAAGTTAATTTTATTAGTTTATAGTCAAGTATAGACATGTGTGTGTTATTATAGGTATTTATATATTATGTTATACTTTTTTTAAGTCCACTATGTTGAACAAACTAATAATTAATATAAAAATATTTTTCTAGTTTTTGCTATTTTTATAAATAATAAGTTGGCAAATATATATTTTCTCAACATACTAGTAAGTACAAAAATATGCTCATATGATGTATATAAATATATAAACATATATTTATTTATTTAACTTAAAGTATAATTTAGTATTTTAAAAATTGAATATACTTTTGTTATGTATACTAAGTATTAAGAGCTTATATTATGTGTAAAGCTCAAATGTAAGAATTACCATGAAATATTTCAAAGTTTACAATAAATATATTAGCTATTGTTAATTGTAATGAGTTTTAAGTTATATTATTTTTTTAAGTATATTTGTTTATTAATTTATCAAAAAAAAAAAAAATACATGCTATTCATATAACAATAATATTTTCATATAATATTTAAATATTTAAAAGAAAGCAAGATTTCTATGTTGTGTGAGTCTCCACAGTCAGGGTGATACGGGGATTAGTGAATGGTATTACTAAATTCGATTTTTAAATTTGAAACAAATATACCATTGTTCTCAAAAAATGATTTTGAGTGAAAGAGATTAGGTGAATCTGTTTATATTTTTAAAGGTGTTTAAAATAGTAGAAGAATTACATTTCTTGAATTTTAAATATTCTAACTTCCGTATTAAAAAAAAAAAAAAAAAAAATGGGAAAATCTAAAAATGTTAGTGCCTATAAACCATCTTCATTAACATGTTAATGAACGTGCTGAACGTCGATATTAGTCGAAACTTTCAGCACTCGCGGCATTAAAACATCGTTTATTGTATAAATCATAAAATAAAATACATACTGTATATATAAATATTATAAAATACACGAATAAACGTGTTCGTCGGACAAACAGTTGTAGTGTGACTACGACTCTCGTTCAACGATTACAAAATCATTATTATGATCATCATCAGTATTATTATTTTTGGCATATTTTTTTCTGTAGTCCACCAGTCCTAGGGCCACGAGAGCCATGTTCCGGGCGGCGTTAACGTTCCGATTCCATATTTTCGTCAAAACTGGAACCTGTGATCGTGGCGTCTGCGACGCTTGTCGTCTCCGGAAGCTATTGGCGACGTATCCTCGTGTTTCGGAGGTAGAGTCATGCGTTTCGTACACCTCGAACGACGCAATGCGTGGTCATGTACTCGTCCCGAGTCCACGGTCGCTCAGCGATCTTGCCAGCGGTGAAAAGCCCGACGCAACGAGCACACGGCTGGCTCCCGGTTCGCGCCGTAACTCACGCCGTCCCGTAGCGATCCGTCTCCGAAACGCACCAGTACGGACGTTTTGGTTTCCGACATGTCCAAAAGCCGCTGGACTAACGAATCTTCGACACTATGTTTACACATTTTAGCGTACCACGTTAGCTTTACCAGTTTGTGCCGCGAATACGCCAAATGCGAGCTTTCGTGATGCCACAAACGGTACGTGATATCGCTCGTTCTTTACACTTGAATTGCTTAAACTTTGCAGTTTTTAGAGTATAATTACGTTTTAGATCTGAAACGCCGACTACTCCGAGATAGCAAGTGCTCACGTAGTTGACCACTCCCGGATCGAGTCCCGTGAACCCGGAAAATCTAGACGAATCCAAATCATTGGTTTCGACTTGTTTCTTTTTAGATCGTTTGCGTTTCGGTTCGACCCCGATTGAATCTCGCGTAAATCTTTCCATAGACGCGCACCAGTAAGCTCCGTTCGTGGTAAATGACATCGTGAATTTCTTGCGGTCCCGGTGTGCCGCGATCGCGTTCGTCTACGGGTCCAGTCGAAATAACGCCACCAGTACGTCGGGGCCGCGGCTCTGAAATCTTCGTGCGCCGATTTGAATTCTAAAGGTTTTGCCGCGCGCAACAGCTCGGTACAAGGCCCATGGCGTTGTACAGAAAAGTGCTTTGGGTCCCGGACGAGAAGCACGGAAAACGATCGCGATCCGTTTCGCAGGAACCACGTCGCCAGTTTATGCGAAAACGGAACCAGCGGCCACCAGTTTTCTGCGGGTCCGCGAAATCCCGATAATCCGGCGGCAGACCAAAAGTTTCGAGCTGCGGACGACTCGATGTTCTCGAGAAAACAGTTCTTCGTAAAGCCGACATTTCCAAACCCATTTGAGCGTCCGGCCTTCGTATCGCAAGTTCACGTAACGCACCACTCGATCGTACAGGTGCACGCAAACGCAATTCTTCATGGCCGTCTCGTGTCGCACGGCAACGGGTTGAATCAAGTGCGATCGTAATTTTCCGCCGTACGTTTTGCGCGATTCGTGCGCTCCGCGCAAAGCGAAATATTCGGCGTCCAGCGGCACACGGTTCCATACGTTGACGTTTGCCCTGCAGGTGATAGTAAAAAAATCGAGCAAGTGGTTTTGCGCAAACGTCGAATTCTCGGTAAACGCGTTGCCGCAATCTTCGGAGTGTGACGGTTTCGTATAACGATAGTGTACGTGTACCGAAACTTCGACGGCCAGAGCCGACACTTCGAACACGTCCGCGGCTATGCGCTCGCGTAACGCCGAGTCCGGACAAAACTTGCGGAAACCCTCTTGAACGGTGTACGTCGATACGTTTTTATTGGTCGTGACCGAGGTAAGCCTTCGCTTTCGCGACAATTCGCGCTGCGGACATTTGGCCGACGACGCCCGTACGTGATCGGTTTGACCGCAGCGTTTGCGCGACGACAACATTATCGTGAACGCGCGTGAACTGAGGAGAACACGTACAACGAGAATAACCTAAAAAGAAAAAAAAAAAATTACAGATAAACATCGTATTTTATTTGTCGACTTTAATCACTCAACGTGTTAACGCCGCGAGTTCTGAAAACTTTGACTAATGTCAAAGTTCAGCACTCAACGTTGTTCGACTTTTACGTATCGTGATGTCCAGTCAGATAATTGCCTATAGTGAACGCCTTGAAAGCGGATACAAGCCGCTTCATAATTTTAACAACGTACTAAAACATTAACGAGGGTAATCAGCATGGACATCTGTACAGGAGGACACTGGGGACAAGTTTAGTTTTTCCACCTCCGTTGGGAAAAAACAAAAATAAATATAATATATACACAAAAAAACTAAATAATAGATAAGAAAAATGAATGATGACAGTTTTATTACAAATATTATCACATTATTTTTGAGGGGGGTCTAAGCCCCTTCCAAGAAATCCTTATATATGCCTATAATCAGCTATATTATATAATTTCTCTTATAAAATGCCCAACCGTAAATAAATACTCTATTCGCCATTGGTAATCGGTAACCGCGAATCTCCAGGTTCATTGTTTGATCGTTTAATGGTTTATGAATATTTTTTAAACACAGTATAAACATGCCATGTAAAAATTATATTTTTTTTGTTATTACATTTTGCGAATACTTCCGTTCACATGGAACTAAAACCGCAAAATCATTTTTCTCGCTGCGTGAACACAGTCCATTATTATAACGCCAAAAACGAAATATGTGAACTGTCTCACCACAAAAACGATCCGTCGACGTTATTTTTATTTTTTGTTTTTGTTTTTATGATACGGTTTAACGACAATCACGTTGTATAATAGTTAATGAACAATATTGTAGTAATAAAACATTTAAAATGGAGCTTCAAAAACGTTTCTAATAGAAATCAATTTTCAACTAAAATTTCGAAATACATCCGATTTCCTCTTCTTATAATATTTTTCACTTGTCTTAATTCGACAAATAAATATTACAATACACGTGTCAACCTGTTTCAGTGAATATGCCATCATACTTAACTAAATAGTTGAATCGAGATTTCTTTCAGTAATATTATTTTGTCAATTGGTCGGTAAATTTTATTATTATGAAATAATTGTAGTCGAAAGATATGTATTCTAACCTGCACTATTTCATCAATCCTCTAATCTGCTATCATTGAGCGGCTCTACTGTTATATTTTATCCTTATAATTACTTTTGGCTCCTCGAAAACACGTCCCAAGGTCGTATCGCGTTTTCGTCTCACGACGGAGACACAGTATCGTGTAATAATATGACATGTTATTGATTTTAGATTAAAATTATATCGCAAAATTCAATTATTCAAATATTCTCAACGGGTTCAAGTTTATTATTGTAAGTAATTCATACCGATGTTTAATATTATAGATAGGGTCACCGAACTCTTTATTCATGATTCTCTAAATCTAAAATTAAAATATCACGCCTCCCACAAACGGAGTAAATAAAATAAAACACGTCATGTTACAATAATCATTTGACTCTAAACTATCCAATTAAACAAATATTTTACAATTAATAGGACAAAGTGGTATAAAAATAAATGCACCTACACAAATTTTACTTCACGTATTCCCGGAGAGGCCTATAATCAGTGCCATATTTAAGGGAGGGGGGAAGAGGAAATGAGTAAAATTTTACCTTGGTAGGCTAAATATCGATCTATCTAGGGGACAGGCACCACTGTAGTCCGATGTAATATTGTAGTTATTAAAAATTATTAATAATATTAAATTATAAATAGTAATTAAAATTTTTTTATAACATCATACGCATAATTAATAAATTAAGTCTAAATAAAGAATTGTATAACTAAAGTTTTAACTAAAAATGTATCTATTTTTTTTTTTTTTTTTTTGGAGGAAGTGCCTCAAATATTATACGAATATGGTTGAGCCTGGGTGCAAAATTTGTAAACACAGTCTTGCCTATAATCGTTGTTATAGGGTACCCAACGTGGTAATGCGTAGTACAAAACAATTATTACATTTGAACTGAGCTCGGAAAACGACATTCGTACGGATTAAAAGAAAAATAACATACGGGCTCGCATAATATACATACTCGTATTTACTCAACCCGCACATGTTTCGCTCGGTATTTTCGACCGAATGATCCAGAAAACTGTGTACGAGGAATACGTAATGATACATGGTTGTAGTAAATTGTAAACAATATTAAGTATTCGTATATTATTAACAATAACGGTGTTCGCGTCCCGTTCGCTCCGACACGACGTCACAATAATTCCCCAAACAAAAGAAAACAATATTACATGTTTAGATCGCAAACACAGATTGCATTGTTTCAACATTTAAATTTATCGGCTGAATAAGACGCGATATCTTTCATGAGGTGGAACTCAAATAACAAATTATTATTGTTCTAGTGCATTATTATTTTCAAGCGGGTACTTGACATCTTGTGTACGAGAAAATCCATCGCACGGCAGTTGGTTTCTTGAACGCTACTTGTGTAAATACTATAATACCGTCCTGCTCTTATAATGACGCTAAACCAACAACCGACAAGAGCATCTATTAAAGATAATATTTAGATAATAATATGATATTGATAGTGTTCGTAGTACGAACTTAGTAGTATAACTTCGTACATTTCGTTTTCGTCCAACTTGCACTTTCGAATTGCTGCAAATCGAAAATGAAATCGATCATAATATTACAATGTATTTTTCCGTGAAAACGTTAATTATTTCCATAGATTAGAGTTGTAGAGATAATCCAATAATTTTTTTATTGTTTTTTTAATTTAATAATATTTGTTCTCAAGTTTGTCTAAGAATACATGCATGTTTTACCTACTTCTAAAATTTGCAATCGTTCTAGTTGATCTACACTGCTCTAACACTGTTTTTTTCCCGGAAAAAAGAATTTTTTGAATGTTACATAATTTTGATGTTCAATATGACTTCGTTCATTAAAAATAGCGAAACATATTCTGAAAACTGTTTAAACTTTTAAAACTATGTATACATAACAAACAGTACAATTGCTGTTTTTGTATACCAGAACAGAAGTCATATTGTTTGCATAAAAATTATTTTTAGTGTGATATACCTGTATTCGCTTATAAGATTTACATATAAAATACCTGAGACATTCTATCGGATAAGACTTACTTACTTTTTCGGTTGGTACTGAATTGGTTCCCGAGCTCCATACCCACGTGCAGAATTGGTTCCCATCTGAAAAAGGTATTTTATTAGGTATAGCCGAATTGGTTCCCGTTTAATTACGCACATTTTTCTTTTCAATTTTATAGGCTTAAACCTGTCAACTTTATAGTAGGCTTGGTTAACAATGTGCGTTAATGTGTGTTAAAGAAAAATTATATAATGTATACAATTTTAAATCGTTTATTTGGAAATCAATTAGTCATCACTTAGGTGTACGAAATACAAATAATAAAATATATTAAATACAATTTAAAATCACTGATATGCAAATTTGAAGCTAACTTTCTTTAAATATTCAATTCTCGTAATCCTCTCATTCACGTACTCAGTCATACAATTTTCCAAGTATTTGTTATTTCTTTCCTATTTGCTAGTAATTTGCTAGTCTCTAGTAATCTATAGTCTTTTATATTTCTATACTCTATCTTATCGATATTATAATTGTGTCTACATGCATACATATAGCTTTTAAAATTTTTTTTTGCTCTCTATGTACTGACCCACTGGATTTTAATTTTTAATAGTGTAGGTAAATTATCACTATTTTACTTGTACACAAATGGAACCAATGCAGCTATACCTAATAAAATACCTTTTTCAAACGTGAACCAATTCGGCCAAATGGGAACCGATTCGGTTACTCCCACTTTTCCAATTTAATAATTAAAATATTTTGCTAATGTCTATATTTAAATAATTATAATTGTTTTCATATTTCAAATATCGATCTTGTGTATTGTTGTCGAAAATATCTCGGATCTTCAAAAATATTTCTCCGGTTACGGCCTCGAGTCCGAGTAGTACTGCTCATAACCAGTGAACGTTTCGACGAAGAACGATTCAGATTGTAGTATAGATTTTCAGAATCATTTTTAAACGTACACGATTCCGTATGGTTTTAAATGCAGCGTTTTAACGAATAACATATAGAATAGTAATTTATTTATTTACATTTATTGAAATAAACGCTAAAATTGGCTCAAGTACAGAATAGTATTTAGAAGAATAATTATTATTATCGTAACAAAATATTCTCAAGTCCCGCATCTTACACGGTTTATAGTGTATATATGCATTTAATCGATGACATATTTTACGTTTTCAAACATTTGTATAGTTGGAAGACGATCAAACTAAAATAATTAATCTTGAACGAATCTGCCGAATGAGGAAGAAAACTTTAATTATGAATATATTTATTGGATGTAGGATGGTGTTTTGAAATGAAGACGTTTGAAAGATAATAATTGCACATGACATATTTTTCTAAATCCGAATAAACAATGATTTGTTACTTCTCGAGAATAATCGTCATAATCATACTGCAGATACGAAATCAATAATTGACATGTTAGTTATAAGAAAAAACTGCAAACGACTATTTGAAAAAAATGTCATGGAAACCGGTTGTATCTCAACTAGGGAAGTCACAAGAGCTTATTATAACAAATATGTGGTACAATATCGATAAGTAAAGCAATCAATCAATATTTTTAATTATTATTTTTTATCGAATAATATTATTTTAATAAACATTATTAGACTACTTATTACTAATATATTTTGGAATGTGAAAGGTATCTTGGGTTTTTTATGTATATACTTAGCTATTAGGCAAAACAAATTTTTGTTATATGATTATAAAGAAGTTATATAAGTCAAACCCATATGATAAACAAAATATTATCATCTGCTAACGTTAAAACGATTCAAACAAATTGTATTGAAAAATAGCTGCATCCATACGGAATCGTGAACATATACATCACATTTGCGGTATCGATTGTTTATAAATGGTTAGGATAAAAATCTACTCTTTACGGAATCGTGTTGCAACCACAAATATCTGATAATATGCCGATAAATTGTGTTTCAATATAATATCATACCTACGTCAATGCTGAAATGAAATTGTGTATAAAACGATATAATGCTTAAAATACAGTTCGGTGTAATCGCGTGAATGGCCTACTAAAGTATGTTCGATAAACTTATAAATTAATCATTTACTCATTTAAGTACAGAATAACTAATATATCAAACGTATATTATGCGTTAATATGATAATAAATTAATTTTCATTATATTATATTTCTATACTACCTACTTTTGTTACATCATATAAATTATATATTATCTATGCAAGCCGCGTTCAGTGGCATCATTTCAGTTTTTTCTAACCTAATGGGCATGCTCTTATTAAATTGCCGACTCGGCGGCTCATTTAACCGAAGTGCTGATTAAAGCCAGGGGATGGATATGTCAAACTAGACCAAGAATATAATGATTTATAATTTGTATATATGTATTTGTATAGTACACGTCTAATTTTTCTATTTTACAACAAATCAATGGCTTTATAAAATAAATTTGATAATGTGCTCGCAAATGACGCCACTGTCCTCATTATAACTAAAACATTGTAAAAATGTATAATATATAATTAGAGCCTATAGGTATCTTATATGTAACTTTTATCTTAATCCATGTTAATTGTAATCTTTATACCTGTAAATTATACGAGTATAAAGTGTATTAGATAGTATAATAACTGAGAACAAAGCGACAAGAAGAAAAAACATTACTGTCTTATAAAAAATTAAACGTTGCGTGATGTATAAAATATTTGACCCAATCATTGCGATCAAATATCATTTTCATAATCAATACAATATAATCTTATCGTTTGGTGTGTTTTTTAAGTAATTAGATAAATTGTTACGTAAAACTGTACATCAATACTATCAATTATTCAATTTTTTTTTCTTTCAAATATTTGCTCTCATCTTGCGATGTTACACCATAACTGAATAATAATATTGTGTTGTATTGTCGGGGTCATTTTGAACGTCCGGAAGCCGTGATATTATTACCATTGCAAGTAGTATATCATACACCAGTAGTCATATTGGTATTACATATATGAGCTGGGCACCTGTATAAAAATAATACACCACGAATGACCAATTCAAGTTTAGAAATATATCGCCGATTTGATATTGTATTATTACTATATCTATTAAATTTTAAATTATATATCCCACATTAAAATAAATAATTTGTAAATAGTATTCAGATTTATACCAGACATAAGTATATTTTCGGTTTAAAAAATAATAACAGATTGATAGTTACCTAATTAAAATGTGCAATTTGATTATTAAAAAAAAACTATTACTAAAAATTATAATCATATGGAAATGAGGAAGAAGGAGGCTCTGTATCATTGTACATTAAAAAATTAGTAGTACGAATTTTATAAAAAATTGGGGCTGCAACAAATAATGAATATTTAACTACCTATCTTTTAAATTGTACAATAAAACATTGATGTTTATCAATATCTTAGTTAAAGATTAAGGTGATTTTTTTAATTTTACCTAGCAAGGATTTTTATGCTCGCTGAATTGATAAAAACTAAAGTGCATTTCATATGTTATTATGTCTATGGTCTAGTTCAAAATATGATATATTGTTTCCATTAAAAAAGTACAATAGAAGTGTACTATCAGTGCTCAAAGTGGGGGGGGGATACGGAGAGATGGCATCCCTCTACTTTTTTGTACTTACAGTTTTCATCCCTCAACTAGTTTTGTCTAAAATAACGCATTCCTCTTAAGATTTACATTTTAAAATGATATACTTATTATCATTTTTATATTCATAATAAGAAATTATTTTTTTTCGGTGAAAATAATTGTTTTTAACATTCAGGCCCGGGCACCCGGCTTATCGTGTTGTTTAGTATAAGTCGTTTCGCAACCCGTATTATACCTGTATTTACAGCCACGGACTAAGATAATATACATTATGTGAACTATAAAAAAAAATATTATAGGTACACAAGGTGTGAATAATGTTATGAAGATATCAGGAAATTTGAATTGTAAGGCATCCCTCCACTTATCTTGAGCCATCTCGACCACTGTGTACTATAGTACTATAAGTACTCGTATTGTATGTATGCATTTGCTATTTTCACATTTAATGATTAATGTTTTTATTTGAAATATTATATTTATTATAAAACGTAAAAATACCCAATGGGTAAGTAGCTAAAAATAGGAAAAATTGAAAGTTTGATATATTACTCTAATATGATGAGGGTTTGCTTTCTATAAGTACAAGACAAATATAATTTATTTATATACATATTTAATTTATTCTGTGGTATACCATTTATATATAAATGATAGACTGATACCTAGATTTGAAATAAGAAATGTTCAACTAGGAACAATGAAGTGTCTAAAATACATAATTTAGTGTATTTAATGTATGTATTAATTATTTAATGTATTAATACAATTTAAAATCAGTTAATTTAAATGTAATTTTTTTTTAATTCACGTATTCATGAAACATGTACTTATCTAATTACCCAATAAATCAAGAACATTGATTTTTTAGTAATTTAATGTTATTTTACTACGAGTAGAGGTACCAATATATATGCAATTAAAATTAGTATCCAGAAGTTATTTTTTTAATGCACATTTTATGAAATAGAAAATCTAGAATCAATGAAATGTGTACACGAATAAATTTTATTTTTTAAATTTATTCTGCGTTCACGATGGCATTAACATAATAACGTCTATATGAATATCGTCTATTCTACAAACTGCTGTGGAAAATACACACCGAAAACGACGGCAAGTAATTGAAATCTGATAAGAGCAATAATAATGATAAAAACGGCGGTAAACGTTTGAATTTCAATTGGCCAGTGGCGGTACATTATTTATGTACGGGTGCGGCCACCTCGTATACGGAACGACAATGTGTCGTCCGAGAGCGGTCTGTGAGGTGCCCGCGTACGAGCGCGTGTCGACAAGAGCGTATTTTGGCGGACGGTTCTTTCGTTTTTCCCGTCGCGTGTTATCGGGCGGCGGTCTGCCGTCATCGCGGGCCGCATGTCATCATACGCTTTCTCGGCCGATCGATCCGCTTATGAATGGGATGATGCAATTGCAACGGTCGGTAACGTCATACCCGGGAAATGGGGC